TCAAGTATTTAACATTTTTATTTTTGACTTAGAGGCTCTGGATAGAGGAAATAGAGGCTCTGGTTGACCAAAAGGGATCTAGTTGACCAGAGGGCCTTTGATTAACCTTGCTTTTGGGTTGACCTTGCTTTTGGTTGGTGAGTCCACAGGGGCTCTGGTCCTTAAGGACCAGACGATCTCTGGTTGGTCTTGTTCTGTATGATGCAAACTTTACCATGAGGTTTTTTTCAAAGATATTGAGTATTTGAATAACTCTGAACTCAAGGTCTTCAGACTTCGTCTTCAGATTTGACACATACACTCTTTTAAGTTTAAATTCAATTTACTAATATAGTTTCATTTCTAATTCAATTTTATTCTAGGGTTATCTTCATTTTAATTAATTATTGATATAGTTTCATTTCTAAATTCAAGTTTGAAGAGTCATTTTTCATAGTTATACTTCATAGTTATTTCAATAATACAAGTCTGAAGTCATTCTTCAAAGTTTTATTTCAGAGTTATTTCAAGAGTACAAGTCTGAAGTCATTCTTCAGAGTTATACTTCAGAGTTGTTTCAAGAGTACAAGTCTGAAGAGTCATTCTAAAGAGTTAGCTCAACTGAACTTTTATGTCTGCTTTTTCAGACTTAGCTCACTCAAACTCTGGAGTCTAAACTATAAAGTCTTCTTTTTCAGACTTAGAAGTATGAACTCTGAAATCTTTTTTTTAGAATTATAAAAAGAAGTTTGAAGTCTTCTTTTTCAGACTTAGATGTCTGAACTCTGAAGTCTTCTACAAGTCTGAAAAGTCATTCTACAGAGTTAGCTCATCCGAATTATAAAGTCTTTTTTTTTTAGACTTGGCTCACCCGAACTCGGAAGTCTGTTTTTTTTTCTTCAGATTTAGAAGTCTGAACTCTGATTTAGTGGGATTGGTTTTATACTTCAGACTTATTTCCAGAGTACAAGTATGAAGAGTCATTTTTCAAAGTTTTACTTGAGAGTTATTTCCAGAGTACAAGTTTGAATAGTCATTATTCAAAGTTAGCTCACTCGAACTCTGAAATCTTCTTTTCCAGACAGAGCACCATGCAGAGTCTTTGCATAATGCATGCAGAGCTTTTGGCTTGCCTATACAGAGCTCTGAAGTTTGAAGAGTTTTACTTCAAAGTTATTTTAAGAGTACAGGTCCGAAGTCATTATTCAAAGTTATACTTTAGAGTTATTTCAAGAGTACAAGTCTGAAGAGTCATTCTAAATTTACTTCTAAGTTTAAATTCAATTTACTGATATAGTTTCATTTCTAAATTTAATTTTATTCGAGGATTAATTTTATTTTAACTAATTATTGATATAGTTTTATTTATAAATTCAAGTCTGAAGAGTCATTTTTAGAGTTATTCTTTAAAGTTATATTTCAAAGTTATTTCAAGAGTACAAGTCTGAAGAGCCATTCTAAATTTACTTCTAAGTTTAAATTCAATTTACTTGTATATTTTCATTTCTAAATTTAATTTTATTCTAGTGTTAACTTCATTTTAACTAATTAATGATATAGTTTTATTTCTAAATTCAAGTAGAAAGAGTCAATTTTTAGAGTTATTTTTCAAAGTTATACTTCAGAATTATTTTAAGAGTACAAGTCTAATGTAACATCGTACTTTCGATGATCATTCATATATGTAAGATAAGTTCCTGACATGATTTAATTTTTTTCAAATTACCCCGTGTAATACACGGGATCGAACCTAGTATATACATACATACATATATAGGATTGTGTTCATGTGAGACCAAATGTATTTTGAGAGACGCGTAAGACCAATTTATGTTCATTGATCAATTTTATAAGCTAATGATCTAATGGTCTAAAGTTGCACGGTGGCAATTTTGTGATTATTGAGAAGTCTCGTGACAATTTTGTGATTATGAATATTCATATTGTAGATCTAATCCAATGGTTGAGAATTGGTCTTACGAGTCTCACGAAAAACCCTTGGTCTCACATTATCTCAAGTCTATATATATATATATATATATATATATATATATACACCTAATAAATAAGTAACTTTGGGGACACACACATATCATGTTTCTGTGCGGCGGTTATTGATTTTTCCCGCCTAAACATGTATATAGACACAATTTTCACTTACGGTTCAAATAGGTCTATTTAAGTGACATATGTCCCTCTACACGAGCCCGCCAAGGGATCTGCCCCTTGGACCCCGCTAGGGGCTACCGCCCCTTGGACCTCGCCACCTGGGGCACTGCCCCCGGACCCCTTTCGTTAGGGGCTTTGCCCCTAAATCAAAATAAACTCAAACAAGTGTGCATTCCGCACCTGCCTTAGCTGTTCGATATTTATCATGATTACATTGGTAAACAATTTAATCTCATTACACTTAAATGACTTTAGTGATACAAATCACCAACATGAAGTCAGAAGATATTGGTTATTTCTCAGACTTACAACATAACTCTGAATTGTTCTGTTCCAAACTTAGTTATATAATTTATTCACAGACTTAGAATACAACTCTAAACTCCTCTTCAACGTTGAAGTTCAGAGTTAATTTTCTGAGTTATAAGAAGTCAAAATTCTTGTGACTCAGAGTTATACTCGTAGATAGTTTTTATACTTAGAAGACAAATTTGAATTTATTTTATTCAGAGTTAAGTCCAGAGTAATTTTTCAGCCTAACAATAGAACTCTGAATTCTTGTGTTTCAGAGTAAATGTTTAAAGATTTCTTTCAAAATTAATATCCAGAGTTTTTCTCATTTAAAATACCCCGTGTAATACAAGGGGTCGAACCTAGTATATATATGAGTTTAATCATTTGACAACTCCAATATTTTTTTGGATCCGTGAATACTTTTACCTTAAGGTTTTGTTTCACATGATATTTTTCCATGTAAGTATATAGTATTTAAAGTATTGTTTCACAATGTATTTGTTTCATGTGTATTTGATTCACTAGGCTTTTTATACGTGTAATTTTTGTTTCACAAACACGTCAAAAAGTTTTACATCATGAACCGAATATATGTGAAACAAACAAATTGTAAACCAAATATATATTAATCACTATGTTAAATTCCAGCTACAAATAAAATAACACATAATATACTGATTTTTAAAGACGGTAGAAGTTATCAAAAGAAAATCTCATATTTAGTGTTTTTTTTATTGCATTGTGATAAATATATGTGATAAAGTATAGTTTAATGATTGTTTTATACATATATTCATTAATATTTTTCTGTATTAATATTTGAAAAATAGTAAAGCAGATCTATTTGGATTGCCTATAATAGCCCCGGCCCCAACACATGAGCCATATATAAGTGATTAGTCTAATCAAGTTCAGAAACTTGGGGACTTCAATGTGATTTCACAACAAAGGAAAAGGGTATTATAGTCATTCAAGTGGTCTTTCACAAGATCTTCATATAAACAACAAAAAAAGAAGTTCAAATAGTCATCCTCCAAAGCAAACTGGAGAGGTGAAGCTTTGTTTTCATCAGAAGAAACCTTCTTTTTCTGGGTACCAAAATGTATCAAGATTTTGAAGAAACCCATTTCTTAAATCCAAAACCCTAATCAAAACCATCATCTTTCTCGATTCCAAAACTAGGGTTTACTCAACTGGTTCATGGATATTGATCTTCTGCATACTTCTTGGGGGGTGTTGCTTCAGATTCATAGCCTTAAGTTGTTAGAATTCAAGTTTTCATGGCAGATGTAACCAGCAAGAAGCTTCTTCTCTTAGTCGCTCTCCTTCTTGTTGTTCCTCTCTTTGTTCGTTCTCTCGAAACGGGCCATTCGGTATCCATGAGACGGTTGTTGAAGCACTCTCAGCCACCCAAAACCACCACCATCTCCGCCGCCGCCACCACCACTCATGCAGAGTTTCATGCAGCTGCTCATGAAGTTCCTAGTGGCCCCAACCCAGAATCCAACAGGTAAAGAAAGCAAATCCTGATGTAACCCTTTTTTTGGTTGGTAAATAATGTGGGTGTTTAATCTAATTGTTTTGTGGTTTGCCTTTTGTGGGATGATAATTTAGATTTAATTTTCATGTTAATCATTAATTACTAATTTCAAGAAAAATGGTATACCACTCGATAGCAAATCAATTAGATTTTATCGCAACCGATATTTTTTTAGAATTTTCGGATCAAAATTTTTGTTGCTATGCACCAATTAGATCGATTTAATTAAGTCAAAACGTTCTAGATCATCCGAGTGAATCCTAATTTGTTCTTAATATATCTCATTCAATGTAACAAAGATTTAAAGGGGCCGTATGATAAAGATGGAGAGTCTTATTCGGTAAGTGAGGTTGACGACTCGTAAATTATTGCATACGATACTTTTTTGATGTATTACAATCTCATCTGTTAAAATAAATTATAATATTGACTACTAACGATAAACATTTACCAGTTAAGTATTTAAGTAAGCAACCCAAATGTTAGTTTATTAGATTTAAAATATAGATTTGGTTGAAATGTAGCAAAAAATGGTGGGGAAGTGTGATGGTAATGGGGACATGGCTTATTGGATTTGGCATGGTCAGAAATCTTTTAACAAAGATGACTTCTCCTTTCTGGTGTCATGATTCAAAAATAATTGGTCAGTAGGTGGCATGGATTTTAGCACTTGTCTTCCTTCCACTCTTGGCTCCAACTTCAATTTCTTTTTTCATCATTTTGATTCTATTAAAGTAGCTTTATTCTTAACTTTTTATGGTTGGGTTTCGTTGTTGCAGTGTGATTAAGTCGAATCGAATCAAATGGAACAAGTGTGATTAAGTCGAATCGAATCAAATTGAACCAAATCGAACGATATCTGATACATGAATGGAAATTAAGCATTCTCGTTCAACATAGTAACTATATAACACAGATGAAATTTACAGAACTGCTAAAGATTCAATACTTGAAGTACTAAGCTTAGTAGAGGAATGACTTCTTGGAATATATATGTCGAGCGAAATTGACAACAGTCCTAATGGCCGCCGCCACCTCCTCCAAATCCACCACCACCGCCACCTCCAAGACCTCCACCGCCGCCTCCTCCGATTCCAACTCCAACTCCAACTCCAAACCCACTCCCACCCCCGAGCCCTCCTCCACCACCACCGCCAAGTCCTCCTCCACCACCTCCACCAAGCCCTCCACCTCCCACACCACCAAGTCCACCATCACCTCCAAGCCCTCCACCTCCTCCTAATCCACCACCATCACCACCAAGTCCACCACCTCCAAGCCCTCCACCTCCCCCTAGTCCAGCACCACCTCCTAAACCTCCACGGGGACCTAGCCCACCTAGACCCCCACCTCCTACTCCTATTCCACCTCCCATCCCTCCATGGTGTCCTAGGCCACCCCCAAGTCCACCTCCTAACCCTTTATGGAATCCTAGACCACCACCAAGCCTCCCTTTCCTACCAACACCTAGACCTCCACCTCCATCATTGCCAAAACCACCCCCAAGACCACCTCCCAACCCTTTATGGAATCCAAGACCACCACCAAGCCCTCCTTTCCCGCCAATGCCTAGACCTCCACCACCACCACCACCACCACCAATACCACCTCCTAAACCCCCTTTAAAACCACGTTTAAATTTTCCCAACAAACCTTTCTCATCCCTTACCCCCTTAACCACATCTCTTGAAACTACACCATAATCACCAGCCAAAATAACAAAAACCACAACAACAACAAAGAACACATGGACACCCATGAACACTCCTTCAAAAATACTTGCTCACAAGAAAATGATCTAGAAAAAAAAGGTAAGAATGCAAACAATTACCCAAGTCCACAGTATATATAGATAGAGGAAAGGAAAGTGGGTGATTCAAAATAGTGAAATAAATTTATTTTTGGATGACACATTTTACTAACACATGGTGGGTCAAATGTAAAAACCCCCCATTGAATGTTGCTGCCATTGGCAAGCAAATTTAATATCTTCAACCGTCCCTCGTCTCTTTTTACTATTCGCCATTACTTCACCTTTTGTAGTACACAACAATAGTGATTGACGATTATAATTAGGTTGGCTGAGTTCAAATATAAGTTCCAAAATCAACACCTCAACATATTCTCAACCATTATATGTCATTCATTTCATCCTCAAAAATAAAACCACACCCAATTTTACATTTTTTATTTGGTATAAATGCGAATTATTGCTTCCTTTTTCAAATTTCCATTAAATATTATTTCTTTATTCATATTCAAATATTTAAAATAGCATTTAATCATAATAAATTTTACAAACCATATATTTAACAACTATTATTACAATTTTTTTTAGTATAAACTGAAATCACACAAAGTGACTGGGCACAAATCAAATTATTATCATTAACAGGTCTGATTAAGTTTAGGAGAAAACCATGAGAAGTTGAGGAACATTCTTATAACCATTAATCTGTACGTTATGCACACATGTGCATTTAAGTAATTTGTCCGTATGCATACACATGTACACAAGCATAGAAAACCATAAAACATCTTCAACTGTTTATGTGTACATTTGCATACTGTAGAGATGAATGGTTATTAGAGTTTCTCTCAATTTTTATTTTTATTTTTATTTTATTTTTTAAAGATTTTCCCAAAACCTCACACATTATTAATAAATTTAATATGATTCGTGTCAATTATTTTTATTATATATATTTTTTAAATATTTGTTTCACATCATCAAAGACGTTGACGTGGCAATAAGCACAATGTGGATGCTTTAAGAAACAATGTGAGAATATTGGGTACAAATGTTGACTACAAAGCGTATCAAACTAAAATCAATTTTGTTTTTATTTTTATTTTAGAAATATAAATTAAAAGGGTCTTTTATCCAAATGCTTACATAATAAGCGTTTATCGTTAATAATCAATACTCTTACGTACATTACCGGGTAAGATTATAATCCATTAAGACGACATCGTATGCAACAATTTACTCGATAAGTACTAGCCATGTAAGATTCGTCAATCTCGCTTACCAAATAAGAGTCTTGGTCATTGTCATGTTCATCTAGTAGGGTAAGTGATCCGGTAAGTGAGCTTACCCGGTAAGAGCATCTCTAACAGTTTTTTTTTTATATAATTTTTTCTACAATAAAGAACCAAAACCTAAATTTTCTAAAAATAATTACATTAATCTCCAACAGATTCTCTATTTTAGAGATTTTAACATAAATTATATTATTATAATATTCTCTAATTTATCATCTCAATACACTTTTATAAAAAATAATAACTCAATCTCATTGGTTGAATTGAATAAAACAATAATTTCTCTATCCCACCATCAAGTTTTAAATAATTCTCTATATCTAGAGTTTTCTCCATGATTCTCTATTTTAGAGAACAAAATAATAAAGCTGTTGGAGCATTTTAAAGAATAAAAACTCACTTTTTTTTTAATTTTAAAAATGTTGTTAGAGATGCTCTAATTACTTACTGGGTAAGCATGCATTTGATAAACAACCCGTTTTGTTTTGGTTTCCGAAAGTTTTGGATCATAATTTTCATAAAAGAAATTTTGAACAATGGTTCTCCAATTTGATTCAGAAAGCAAAATGGTTCTATTTCTGTTCACCAAGATAGGAAGGAAAGGAAAGTTTGTTTTATTTTGGTTTGATTCACGATTTATATAAGTATCATTAGTATCATCGTTGAATAATTGTAAAAGATGATTGAGATCATTTTACAAATTAGAGAAATAACGAATTTTGATTTCATCTGCATTTTTGGTTTTCAATATATATAGAGAACGAATTAGACGAGAATACCTTCATTTTACAAAAATATATAAACACCATTTTACAATAGTGAATCACATGTGATAATGAAATCAGACTTTTGGCACGATCCTTGGTCGTGGCCAAGTCGCTCCATACCATAAGAGTATTATCATATGTGATTTCCAATAATAAATGAGCGTTCTTGATTTTTTTTTAAATAAAGGTAAATAACACATTTGTTGATATTGGGCTGAAAATGTAAATTTTTGCACTAGCCCAGATGGATTAAAAAGCCCATTCATGTCAATCCCATGTATTTATATAGTTGAGAATAGAGATGGCCAAAAACCGGTCCCGGCCAGTCTCGGACCGATCCCAATCGGTCCTCATCATTCTCATAATCGGTCATAACCGGTCCCGGCGTAACCGGTCCCGGTCTCGGTCGAAAATAATAGGACCGGTATAGGTACTTTATAACCGGTTATGGGCCGCCGGTCCCGGTCCCGATCCCAACCGGTCCTTCATTAAAAAAATAAGATTTTTTATTTTATTTTTTTAATGATATATATTTTTAATACATTATAAAATTTACAATTTGTTCACTCAAATACATTTTAAAAATGCGTTTTAATATAATTAAAATTATGTTTTCTTATAAAAGTACATTATAAAATTATTTAAAAATACATTTATTTATAAAATTAATTGAATTTTCGGGCCGGGCCGGGCCGGTCCATAGTCGGTCCCATAACCGGTCCCGGTCCCACGAAACTACCAAAAACCTCAACCGGTCCCGGTTTTCGGTCCCATAACCGGTCCTTACCGGTCCCGGTCCCGGGCCGGTCCTTTGTCGGTCCCGGTCCCGGTCCTTTGTCGGTCTCGGGCTGGGCCGGGCCCATTTGGCCATCTCTAGTTGAGAGCAATATCAAAGCATTTATTTGCGGACCTAATTTTGGAGCTCAAATCTATATCTATACTATCTTATAAAGCATTTGGCTAAAACTCTTAAAAAAACTCTTAAAAACTCTTAAACTCGTTCATCCTAAACGATTTCATCCCTATTCGATTTCATCTCATATCTGAATTCGTGTAACTAACTGCAGATAAACACAATCATATACAGAATAAACATCTCATTTTAAATATAAAAAATTTAAAATATAATTAATATAATAATTAAATTCTAACATAATACTTAATTATTATTTTTATAAAATTTATAATATTAAACCAAAAATAAATTATTTTATTATTAAACTTAAATTAAATTATATA